TCTCTCTTTGTAGCATTATTAATATCTATTTCCTACAATAACAAATTTAATGTTTCTGCTTTTCCCATACTGCTATTCATTTTACTTCCTACTATGTTCTCTGAGTTATATTGCAATTGACAATTAAATTATGTTTTTCTTTTCTGCTTTAATGGTAGTAATTCTTTCTTCAACAGTCAATAAGATTTGTACAGCATACTTGGAGAGGTAGAATTTGCTGTATCCACCTTTCTATTTCTTTGTGTGTTATACTTCACCTTTTTCAAAGGCAGTCTTAGCATTTATTGTTCTGTCACTGTGCCACATGAAGTAAATGGTTTTCCTGTCAGCTTCTAGAGATGTGCCTCCAAGCTAGCTAAAAGTTACTTTTCTCAAGAAAATTGTTGACAAAACTGTTGTCAGAGTAAGCAGTTACTTTCTCTGTAGCTTTCTATTCTTTCCTAGATTTTAGTCTAATTCAGCTTTAATAATAATTTTGGATCTTGAATATTTAGTAGTTTGTATTAACTTTTAATTTATTTATTATTATTTAGCTATTTTGTTTAATGTTTTTCTTTTTCTTTCTCAGAATCGATGTGTTAATCTCTTTCAGAAATGCATTACCTGTACAGGTGGAGACTTTTTGGTTTGCCAGTTACTCGATGTCCTCACCTGCTTGAAATAAAGAAGCAGCTGAATCTGTTGCAAAATCTCTATAATCTATATAACAGTGTCATTGATTCAATCAGTGGCTACTATGATATTCTTTGGCTGGAATTAGACATTGAAAAAATTAACAGTGAACTTATGGAATTTCAGAACAGGTAAGAAACTGATGGTGTGTTAAAGCTGCCTAAAGTACTTGATTATGATTATAATTGGTTATATATGGTGTATATATATATATGCCGCGCTCCCACCCCTCATTGTAAAACATACAAATAGCGCAACTCCACATATATATATATATATATATATATATATATATATATATATATATATATAACAATATATATATAAAATATTGGTGTATATATACCAATAAGCATATATGAGTATGTATTTATTTAGTGAGGCATGAAAAACATAAATTTAAATTGAAAAATGTATCCATTAGCAGTGTAATAAAAATCAAGAAAAATTTAGATTCTAAATGCTGAGCATTATTACTCCTTAGACAGATTCTTGTCTACCTTTTAAAATAATATGTTAAAATTGTAATTAACTTTGTCCATGAAGGAAAGTTTCAAGTTTTATTGTAGTATTTTTGTTCATGAGAGATTTTTTTTTTTGCCAAAAGGCAAAAGCAAAGTAAGGAAATGAAGAAAAAGTTTTCCAAAAAAAGGGGTAAAATGGAAAAAAAAAAACCGAAAGGTTCAACAAAACAAGAAACAAAAAAAAAATAAAGAAGTAAACCTTGGGAAGGAGTTTTTTCCTAGAGCTCAGAGCAATGCATATCATCAGTCTCACCACAAGATGAAATTGAGATTAGAACATTTCAACTGATTTTGAAGATCTCTTGCACAGAATTATTAGAATTATGCAGCTACACTCCTTAAGGGGAAGCTGTAGGTGCCTACCTAGATATCAGTTATTGAAAGAAACTGGAAAAATATTTTCTCACAGGGAGAAGCATGTAGAGAAACTCCAAATTAAAGGTAAACTGAATTTGGAACGTATGTGCTCTGCTGTTAAAACCATATCATGTGATTTTAAAGAAGGAATATTTTAAACTCTTTGAAAAAGCTTGCTTTATCTCCATGTAGGTGCCTATTGCAGATGATAGATAGATATGATTGCTCATAAATAATACAGCCAGGATGAGAACAGTTCTCCCAGCCAGCTGGATGACACTCCTGCCCTCGGATGAGTCCAGGGGTGAAATGGGCTATTCCATCCCACCCCCCAAAAGATGTATGGCTCATCCCACACCTTTGTACCCTCCCCCTAAAACATTAGTGCCTGTAACCCCATTGGCCCATGCCTTATCCCAACCCACCTAGGAGCCCCTGATAAAGGGGCTCCGAGGGGCCACGCGCCCTCTTGGAACCTCTTCCCCCGTCTTGGAACTTCCTCCCCTCCTGGGGCTTCCCCTCTCCTAAACCCTCCTTTTGTCTCTCCCCTCCCCCACCCTCTCAGGCCCAGCCATGTGCTACACCTGGGAGCACAAGGCAGGACCTTCCTGCACCCCCAATAAACCTCTTTCCCCAAGAGCAAACTTCAGAGATCTCTGCCTCCATCCACCCACACCGTGCTGGAGGGTGTTATTCCCACAAGTGCCATAAACTCCCTTGTGCTGTAAAGGAATGGCAGCCTTTTCTTGACCTACTGAAGACCACAGAGGACTTCAGTGAGTGTTGCCCATTGCTTGAGAACATGTCAAGTAAAGCAATGATACCTCGGCACTGGAACCAGATTATGGATCTCAGTGAACACAGATTTGATGTGGAGAGTGAAACATTCAAACTGAGGAATATAATGGAAGCTCCATTACTAAGACATAAAGAGGAAATAGAGGTATTGTGAAGGAAGAAATATAGAAATGTGAAACCAACAATCTGCTTGTATAGTATAGGAGTATCAGTAGCAAGAAGGAAATCAGAACATTCCTGTAAAAAGAACAGAGAAATGGACTATCACTTCAGATTTTTGTAAAATTATGACACAAATATATTGTGGTGTCAACTTATTTTTTTTTAAGTCATGCCATTTGTGAGGGTACCTTGCTTTGTTACATTAAACTTATGAAAAGTATTCACTATGTCATTATTTTATTCCCCCCAGGGTTGATTAAATTGTGATGTGGTATACAGATTATTAGCTATGGTGTTTGTATATCTGTAGACCTTTCCACTAAATACTTGCTCCTGAGCCTAATGTTACTTAGTGTTAAAGGAAATAAGAGCTAGATTAGTATACCAGGGATTTGAAGGATTCATATCTTGTTTTGACAGCCTCTTTATTTAAAAGGATATCTGCATAAGTCCTGTGAAGGAGAGAGACATCAAGCGTAAGTCAAAACAAGTGATAGCTGAATGGGATAACAAGATGTTTGTCTTTGCAAACTTTAAAACTCGTGGGGAGCTTCTTTTAAGAGGTGACAGCACATCAGAAACTATTGCTGCACTGGAGGACAGCTTGATGATTTTTGGTTCTCTCATGAATAACAGGTAACAGGAAAGGGAGGGAGGGAATGGAGGGAGAGGTAAAAATATTAGCAAAAGACTTTGTTTTAGTGAACAAATCTATCACAGATAAGAAGGTAAAGAAACATCTAGATAAAACCTAAGAGCTTGCTTGTCCTTGTTCATGGGCTTGTTCTTACTGTATCTCGTTTATCCCCTCAATAAGTTATTTTGAAAGCATGTTGCTGCAGCTCTGATTTTTTGAATAAACAGCTGAAAAGTTTTCATTGATGCAAGAAAGTGGAGACATAAGAGAGAACACCGCCTGGCTATGGCAGGCATGCTATGGGCGTGACAGGCACTGCTACTCTGCCCCTGCGATACGTCATTGCCTCATGGCAAAGGTGCTGAAAATCCCAATTAGAGTGAACTTCAGTTTATCTGGTTTCACATGCCAAAAGACACAGATAAATAAGGAACACAGAACCTGATCATCAGGCAGATGCTCAAAAGCAGGAGTTTAGGAGAGTTCGGGAACTCTGTGAGTTTACAGCTTTCAAGATGTTGAGTAGTCCCTTTACCTTGGAGTGAAATTGAAGTCGTGCTCCCATCCCTTTTCTGTTGGATCAGAGCTGTGCTATACACCTTGTGTACACAGCAGCAAGGTGGAACTGATTGGATTTAGAGCTGCCAACAAGCTGAATTAAGTTTATATACTTTCACTTGAAAAATTTTAAACATAAAAATTGGTCCTCATCCTGTGACATATGCTGCTTTTCAAGAGTCTTGTTTTCTTCTTGAAATAAAGAAATGCCTCTTTTTTTTTTTTTCCATTGTAGATACAATACACCATTCAAGACAGAGATTCAGAAATGGGTGCACTATCTTTCCAACACAACGTATATAATTGAGAACTGGCTGACTGTGCAGAACTTGTGGATTTAGTTAGAAGCTCTTTTTATTGGTGATGATATAGAAAGACAGCTTCCAAAAGTTTCTAGACATGCCTTTTTTCAGCTTGCTTATCAACGTTTTAAGAATAAAACTTAACTGTGATGTCATAATTGATACAGTAACATAAATTTACTTTCTTTAATATTTAACAAAACTGGTGTTGCTAGGAAATTAGATGAGCAGTGCCAGTGTGTGAGAAAGAATAATAACATCATATGATCTGTTTGATCTTTTGATTTCTAGATTGTAAAGCTGTTAGCTAATATGTATTAAAACATTGTGCCTAGTAGTAGCCTTGTGTAGTAATACTTATTACTAGCATAGTAGTATCTAAGAATCCTTATCTTAAACTTTCTGCATGGTTTTTCAAATTAAAGATGAACTTTAGTTTTAGAAAAAAAAATTCTTCAGATTGGAAGCTTCAATTCAAATATAATGAGTTTTCTGTCTTTTTCTCTAGAAATGTAAGAGAATGTACATAGTAGGCTTGACAGCCAAGTATAAAATAAGCTCTATTGTGTAAGCAGAAATAATTGTGTCTAAGCTGAAGTATTTCTAAAAGACATGATTACTAGTGAGTTGATTACTGTTGAGATTGCTGGGTGCTGGTTCTGCAAGCAGGTGCCTTTTCCCTCTTCTCTTTTCCTTCCTCCCTTTCTTTCATTCTATATTCACTGTCATGTTTCAACAGGAAGCAAAGCGTTTCTCTAACATTGATAAATCCTGGGTGAGGATCATGGCCCAAGCTCATGAAACACCCAATGTTGTTCAGTGCCGTGTTGGAGATGAGATAATGGGACAGTTATTGCCACATTTACTGGAACAGCTTGAAATCTGTCAGAAATCACTCACAGGGTAAGATTACCATGAGACCATGTTCTCAGTCAGATGGTTGTGCATTATGTAACCAGGGAAAAAGCAATTGTTCAAGTACATCCCATGAACTTTGAAAATATCATGTTCTTATTCTACTATGAATGCAGTTGAACTGAGCAAACAAGTTAGCAGGGTAATGCAACATCTCCAAAGAAACTAACTCATGGATAAGTATTCGATTTGTGGCTAAGGTGTCACTCATTGTCTCTGTTGAAACCAAACCTGGTTTCAGCCTAGTTTAAATCCAGAAGGCAGCCTAGATTTCTGTCTCCCATTCATACCTTTCATAGACCTGGGAGACCTTTGGCTTGAGAGATATAAATAGCAAGTAAAAGACTCAATGTAGAAATATTTTATTTCAATTTAGTTTATTTTCTTTTTACTGGTGTTTAGATTACAGCAAATAAAAGATTTCCATAAAATGATTTCTGATGCTAAAACAGTAGCTTTAAAGCAGATGTTTAACATGACTGTATGATGGATAAAAATTGTCATTGCTTCAGCTAAAAATTGTATAATAAATTGGGAGAAATACCACTTTTAAAGGGTAGAGGATGTATAAATTAACCCATATCACTTACCATCTTCTCCCTCCTGGTTTCTCTACCAATTTTTAAAAAATACTGGTACCTGGAGAAAAAGTGCCTGCTATTTACACGATTCTTCTTTGTGTCAGATCCTGCTCTCTTAGAAATTCTTGGCCAGGCATCCAGCTCTCACAATATCCAGGCACATTTGCTGAATGTGTTTGACAACATTAAAAATGTCAGGTTCCATGAAAGGGTATGTACTGCCCACACCTCAATGTTGCAGTCCTTCACATTAACAATGTCTGATACTTGCTAAATTAGAGAGCTACTCGGTTGCATAAGGCATTCAGCTGTTTTACTTTATTCAGTAACTATTTGATGCTGAGTAGGCTTTCTTCATTTAAGATTTTTTAATATCCTAATTTATGATGTAGTAAAACTTAATGTAGAATAGCAAAACAAAAATTTACACCAGTGCTTAAATTTCAGAAAAATCCATCCATGTACTGAACTTTTTTCTGTGGTTTTCTCTCAAATAAGCTTTTTAGTCTTTATGAGATTATTTGTATATTTACATTGCCTGTATTTGTATTTTTCCATTCATGTTTTGATTTTAAGAAAAAGTGTATATACTGTCTCTCCTGTTTCTGACCTACCCTTACTATACCTTCACACACAGTGTTGAAAAACACTTTTCTTATAACTTTTACAAGAACAGATAGCAACATTTTCTCCTTATGTATGCATTTTCTTAGAAAATAATTCCCTCCCCATGCTTTTGAAATTCCTCGGATATTCCATGTTCCTTAACTTTTATCCTTTCATTAGTTTTGATTCTAAGGCTGCAAATTCTGTTGGGCTGCTAACCCACCAATAATGGGGCAAGGCTTCCTTTATTGTGGCTGGAAAGTGGATGTTACAGAATCACAAAATAGGCCAGGTTCGAAGGGACCACAGTGAGTAGACTGCTCCTGCCTACCTGCTCAAACAGGGTCATTCTAGAGCACATGGGACAGGATTGCCATTGAAACTTCAGTGAGATTCAGGAATTGTCAATATATTAGGTTTTGTCTCCTTGTTCATGGCAGTGTTTTGTTTAAAGCCTTTCTGCATAGCAAAATAATGATTTAATAGTCTTTACATTTCATTGAACGAGTTGATAAAATTTATTAGTTACTTAAATCAGAGTAATGGAGTGATTGCAGGAAAATACGAGGTATTGTAAAGATAAATAATGTATCTAAAAACACAAGATATTTTTTCTTTTATTAGATAATGATCGTATATTGTCATTCAGTTCACGAGAGGGTGAGACCGTAGAGCTGACTAGACCTGTAATGGCTGAAGGTTATGTGGAAGTTTGGCTCAGCTTTCTGTTGAAGGAATCCCAGCTATCCCTGCATCAAGTTATTCGCCAAGCAGCTATGGACATCCAGGAAACAAGTTTTGAGATTATTGCATTTCTTTCTACTTATCCAGCCCAGGTAATATCATTGTTAAACAAATGAAGAATTATTCTCATATATGTATCAAGTTTTTTTCCTGTCTTTGCATTCAAAGTTGCAGCCAGTGTTAAACACAGAACTAGCATCTAATTTTATTTGAACTATCTCAGTCTTTTAAGTTTCAGCTTCACATAGCTGAAGCCAAAATAACTTACCCTTAAGTTCCTGTTTAAAAAGGATGCTGAATTCAATAAATTAATGTAATGAAATTAACACTATTTCTTTACAAGCTTAATACTTGACTACTGGAGGAAAAGCAGTAAAATTGTATGTTTGTTCATATATTCAGGATGCTATGTATTGCTAAAGACTTGAGACTGATCATAGTGTTGAGGGAAAATTATTTTTTAGTAGAAGCTTCACTTGTGATCAGGAATGTTGTTATAAATGGAATGAAGGCTTTCTGAATTACTATAAAAATATTTCAAATTGAAGCACTAATTATTCACTGCCTAGTTATTATTTATATAAAGTATATTTGTTGCATATAGTATTTTTATATATACTGTAAATTATATTGAGCAGTTGTATAAGCAATGCACTGTAGGCAGTATCTACAAGACTGAAGTACAGGTTTAACTGTGTTTATGAATGCAGTTGGGACACACAAAACATGACCTCTGTATGAATGCATAGAAAGTAATTATATACAAATAATAGGAGAAAAATTGCTTTAGTTTTTCTGTGTCTGTGAATGTACATTTTAGGTGAAAGAGAAACAATTATGAAGCATATACTTCTGTGTTTCCTAAGGTTGGGTTATTGGAGATCCAAATGATTTGGACAAGAGACTCAGAAGAAGCTTTGACTCTTGCCAAGCAGGATAAAAAGTTATGCATAAGACAAACCAGATTTTCCTGGAACTTCTGAACATGTTGATAGATATGACAACAAAAGACCTTAGTCCATTTGAGTGAGTTAAATATGAGACATTAATCACTATTCATGTGGATCAGAGGGACATTTTTGATGGTCTTGTAAGTATTAAAAAACTAACAATGAATTACGAGGGGTTTTTCACATAATATAATGTGAATTGATAAGAAAATATTATGATACCTACGATCTCTGGCCTCATAAGATAAACATTTATTTTCATTACTGTAATGATTATGTGTCCTGGAATAAAAGTGCTGGTGCTGCTTCAACCAGTCTTAATTTCCTTTTAAGTAATTCAGTGGTTTTTCCTCTCCCCAAGCAATAGCAGAATTTTGTCATGTTTGATGTTGGTCCACTAAAGTTAATAATGCCTCTGTAGCATGATCAGTTAGGGACTTCTTTTTCCTCATACATGTTGTTGCAAGTAATTTTCCCTTTTCTGAACTGCATAATGAATTTCTGCAAGTAAATATAATTAATATAGAGTTATAGTACAGGAAAAAGGTTGAAGCTGGTATTCTCTCTGTTCTACTTTCAATAGCATACCTAATTACTACCCAGGGATTTCTTTATTCACTTTACACCTTCTCATGCTGACACAGGATGCTAAAATAAGGAAAATGAAAGCATTTATCTTGATAACACTAAAGCTAACATACCCTTTTACCTATAGGAAGTCCCGGACCTGATTCTGAAATTAAGCTGTCCAAGTAAAAAATTATTGACTTTTGGCCCATTATTAATAGGCAGCATTTATCTTTTAATTGTAGAATAATTTGTTTTGTCACCCTGATTCTTAAGATTTTCTAAAGCTTTCTGAGGTTACATTCTGTTAGAAAACTTTCACACACATTTTCTATAAACAACATATTGTTTTGCATTACTTCGTGGGGGTGGAGGAAGTTGATGTACTGGTGGTTTGTCCAATGTCTTTGGAGAGGTGGCCCATTCACTCTCCAATCCACTGTCACCTTTGGAAAAGTATAAAAGTTGGAGTCAGAAAATAAACCTTTTTCTTTTTTACCATGCCATTGCAGTGGCTTGTGTTGTGCTTTCTCGTGTCCTATAGTGACATTATTTCTAGTATAATAATTTTATGTAAAGTGTAATTTTTAGATACAAATTAAATGATTTTTTAAAATCCTGTTTTAATATTCAATAGAGCAACTGTGACTTATTCTCAGTTCTGTCGAATTCCTTACATAGTATCAGCACCATGACACTGCAGGAAATATATTTTTTCCCAATATGCATGTGGTTTCATACAATTCTCATAGCAGTTACAAATATCACATTATATACTTCTGACTCATGCAAAACTAAAGTGGCAGAGAGGACTAAAAGGGATGGCAATTTTAAGGTTACACTGAAATGACTCTTGTTTGAGGCTTATGGAGTGTTAATTTGTATTTAGAATTTTGACACACTCATCTAAAACCTGAAGTTCCTCGCCTAAGTACGTGATTGAACAATAATACATTAGCAATTTTTGTGGTAAAAATCCAGATAGATTCACCACTATCCACTATATTTCACTATGTTTGCAGTGCTACCTTTGAATCTAGTACTTAGATGGTACAATATAAATTTGAAAGTAAATGTTAACAATGAATGCCACAGCTTGTCTTCCCTCTCTTCTTAGTGCTGCATGCATATCAAGACCCCTATGGACTTTGAGTGGCTGAAACAATTTAGATTTTATTTTAATGAAGATTCTGATAAAATGGTGGTTAAGGTCACTGATGTGAGCTTTACATACCAGAATGAATTCTTGGGCTGTACTGACAGGCCAAGACAGGTGAAAAAGACTAATTTTATTCCTTTAATCTTTGTTGCAAAACCTCAGCTTTTACAAGAGCAATTTTGTCATTCCTGTTGGATGCAACATTGATCTCTACAGACTTTATTCTTCACAGCCTTGTCAAAGTCAGTACTTTGATATGGAATGCTTGAATATTTTTGTTTCTGTGCCATATAATATGAATAATCTTCTCCCACATACTTGCACTGGTCTCTACTTTCATGATGTAAGTGACTTGCATTCTTATGTACATGAAGCCAACATACCTGAGGATCTGATATATCCAACAGATAAAATATGTAGAGATATAAGACAAAAGTAGGTGTTTACAGACAAGCTAATGAAAAGAGCTAAGAAAGAACAGACAGGTAAAGTAAAAGAAAGAACAGACAGGAAAAGCATTTTTTATTCAGCTGCAGTAGTTTGGAGATCTTTGATCTAAAAGGATGTTGAAAGAATTGCAATCCTATTATCATAGACATATACCTGTCTAACTCAAATAGCACAAAGAATGTTTTATAATCTATCATTGGCAAAATAAAGGCATTGTTTGGTTGGTTGTAGTCTATTTTTTTAACTATTCCATAAAAAAAATTCTAGAGCTAGTCTTGATATATAATTATTAGCTGGTGTTTTCCTGAATTATGCATAGATGGTTCATTTATGAAAATGGGATGCACTGTGTGATCAAATTTCAAAGATGGATGAGAAAGAAAAGGTTAGACATCTTTCATTATTGTACTCCATGGAATAATGTGTTTCAAAGCTACTCCAGATAAAATAACTCGGTATTCAAGCTATTAAAACTAAGATTAGGCAGCATTTCTGTATCTGCTTTCTTCCCTTCTTGTGATCTTACAGATTGCTGATAATTGAGGATTATCTGTTCTCTCACTTTATGTATGATGAAATGAACCTTAATATTCCCTGCATCAGAGACTAAGTGAAAGGGTTTTGTCCTTACTGATCTAAATTTTAATTAGTGGAATATAATTTCAGCACTTCCCTTTTCTCCTTAAATCAGACCTTGTGCAAGTTCCTCTAGCACTGTATAGAAATCTATTGATAGTTGCCTTTTAGATGTTACATCACTTTGGCTCAAGCTTTGGGCATGAACATGGGTGGAGCACCTGTGGGACCTGCAGGAACCGGAAAAACTGAAACTGTGAAAGATACGGAAAGGTGCCTTGGAAAATATGTAGTGGTCTTCAACTGTTCAGACCAGATGAATTTCTGAGGACTTGGAAGGTTCTTCAAAGGTAAGATGTGTACCAAAGGTAAGCTGTTGGCCAGTCAATTATTTTCTGGGGTGCATAAAGCACAATATAACAAACTAGATAGAGAAAATGGTTGTTCCATGGTACTTAGCCTAGGTGGCCTCATCTTAAGTACTCTGCAGTTCTGGAATCAACAATACAACAACATATAAAAATATTGGAATATATCCAAATGACAGTGATGATTGTACAATAATCAGGTCTAACATGGTACTTGCTAACTCATATGTCATTCAGTTCTTAGAACTGATTCACTGATAGTTTGAGAACATTGAGCATTGCCACAAACACAGTTTACAGGATCTTGTTTCAATAATGTCAAGCACATGCAACTAACAAATGCAGGCAGCACCATAAATACAAGTTATCTCAATTTCAGATTGCTTCTATATGGCAAATTCTGGCTCCCAAAATATGACTTATGCTACAATTACAGAAAAATTGCTATAGAGATATAGGTAGGAGTAGCTAGTAGAAATAGGACCTAAAAAAATTCAGATTAGAAATGCTTAGGTGGGACATTTTTCATATCTCATTGTTATAATAGAGGCAAAAATTCTGTAGAGATATGGTGGTAAGTTTGCATGGGAATTAATTTTGACATGTGACTTAAAGCCAACAAATTATTTTTACCTACCAAGATGGCATATTCCTTTGCTGATTCTTCTGTTTGTGCAAGGTACACTCAACTTCAACACCTGTTTTTCCTTTCCAGAATCCAGGATATGCTGGGTGGCAAGAACTTCCTGAAAAATTGAAGACCAATTTCCATTCAGTGGCTATGATGGTTCAGTGGCTATGATCGTCAGATCATAAGTTAAATTGGCTAGTTGTGGTTTCATTGCTAATGTTATGTTGGCAAGGAAATTCTTTACACTGTACAAGCTGTGTGAAGAACAGCTGTCCAAGCAGGTGATTATATTCATATGATGCAACCTGATTATTTTAGGGAAAAACTATCTGTGAAGTCACAAAATATTTGTGTGAAGAATAAGGAAAGGTTCATGTTCACTAAGTAAACTAAGAGACACTTGCCCTTTAGTAATGCAGCCCTCTGCTATCCTGGAGGATTAACTCCTGCTGCAGGTTGTTGGTGAAAGGATGGGGCTTTCATGCAGAACACTGCTTATTATCAAGATTTAGTTTTAATGAATAGCGGTGGCTGAGACAAATAAAGGCTTTATTGTAGCCTTTGTTGGTCTTACAGAGTGGTTTAAGAGGCATTTGGTTTGTGCTGCCTGTGCTTGTACAGATATTTCTCAGCTTCCAAGGGCCACAGAGAATTCAAAATAATTCTGATAAAGTATTTCTCAATAGTCCTTGGGAACCCTGTCTTGATTCAATGACTTATGATTAATTTTTTTTTTTCTGTCACACCTTAGTTTTAATAGATGGTAGCAGATTTGGACAGTGAAGTAGCCCGTAGTCATACAACCAAAAAATAGTTAACGGATGTTTGGAGGCAGTTGAAACACATGTACCACTTCTCCTACATATCCATCCATGTCTTAAATATAAATAAGAACTGTTTCATCCCTATTAACTTGGGGGAAATCTTCCCAAACTTCACATATCTTCTAGGTGCATTATGATTTTGGCTTGCAGAATATATTGTCTGTGCTGCGTACACTGGGAGCAGCAAAAAGAGCAAATCCCACAGATACTGAATCTACCATTGTCATGCATGTTCTGAGAGATATGAACCTGTCTAAACTGGTAAGTTCTGAGGACCTGATAAATAATTTAAACTGCACTTTGGAGCTATGTGATCACTAGAAGATTGTATGTGACCTTTACACTGAATCTAGCTTGGAAATGTTTCATTCTCTGAGTGGAACATTTTGGCTGGGATGGAGATGAATTTCTCATAGTACCCTGTGTGGGAGTGAGGAGGGAGTGAGCTTTCTGTTGCTTAAGTTTCTACCTGGGTTTAACCTTGAACTGTTCAGAATTATTTTTTGCATATTTTCCCTGCTACCTTTAGAAGACAGCAACAAAATAGACATCTATGAAGAAACTTCTTTAGAAACTTTAGAAACTTTGTGCTTAAGTATTTAGTAATTCTTTAAAGAATCTGTTATTTGTAGTAATGAGTACCATTTCACCTGTCTAAATAGCTAACAACCCTCTTCTGTTTCTGTGATACATCATCTTTTTTTTTACACCAAATAAAATAGACAATTTTCTAAATGCTATTGCTAAAATCTACTATAAGAAATTCAGTCTTCATGTTAGTGGTTTATTTTGACAAATAGGATCATGTCTTTCTGCTGTGTCCTTCTAATGTTTAGCACCTAGAGGATTATTATAGGTGGTTCCTTATGTTCTCAAGAATTTCTTTAGGTCTTCAGCACTCAGGGATTGTTCTTTCTAAAGTTGATAAAATAAACAGAATAGGTTTTAATCTGTGTGGATTTTTGTTTTACCTGATTTTCTCTAGATTGATGAAGACAAACCCTTATTTCTGAGTTTAATTGAAGATCTGTTTCCAGATATCCAGCTTGATAAAGCAGGCTATCCTGAACTTGAAGTAGCCATTGATAAACAGGTGATATTTCTCATGATTTATGGTGCTCTGGTATAACTGTCATGAGGTGACATCTAAGAAAATACTTCTTGTGAAGTCTGGCTGGCAATATTCTATTTTACTATTTAAGCTTTTCCATAAATCTTTACCACTGGCATAGTATTACTAAGCTTATTCTTCAGGAGGTCAATGAATTGGGATTATAGTGTCCTGTGGTTTTCTTGAGTCATAGTTACTGAATTTGAAAAATGCATGTATATGACCTTACGTTATGTGACCCAGGATTTAATATTTATCTAAAGTCCTGGCAATTAGAATATTAATTTGAGAAAAGTTTTACTTAAAATTACATCTCTTTTGTTTAATTTCCCATTCAGTAGGGCCATCTTAAGAATACAATGTGTATATATATTATAGATACATTATAGATATATCTAACAGATAGATTATAAGTACATGGATTATATGTATATAGAGGCTGATTTACTTTATTTTTCTGAATGTGTATTTGAATGCCAAATATATCTCCTTTTTCCAACAGTTTTTTTTTTAATATACAAAAAGCCTTTACAAAGAGTATAGTAATCTGTTGATGACATATCTATATCTATCTCTATTTATCTATCTATATCTAAAGGCATCAAAATACATTTTGTGCTCTAAAATAATGGTAATTTGGTTTCATGTCACTGTCTCTTAGGTGAAGGAATCTGGCCTTGTTTGTCATCCTCCTTGGAAACTGAAAGTTATCCAGCTTTTTGAAACCCAGAAAGTAAGGCATTGATTGATGACACTAGGACCTAGTGGTGCAGGAGAAACTACCTGCATCCACACCTTAATGAAAGCAATGACAGGTATGTTAGTACTTTATACTGTAAACTGTTACTGAACTGTTACACTGTAAACTTTAAGCCCCATTGTTTGTTCTCAGAAAACAGTTGCTTCACTCTGAGAATATATTACTGGAAGAATGAGTTTGTATGTTCAGATACTAATTATTCCAGTAGCTTAAAAATGTCTGATGTTCAAAACTGTATGTTTCATATCCTTCTTTACATATTATCATACTTTTATAAGAAATTCTTATTCTAGATGGATTAAGAAAGAGGAATACAGTCTAGGTAGGCAGCACAGACAAGTGATTAAATAATCTCCTGGGTTTTGCTAAAGTAATGCTGGAACCTTTTGCTAATCACACAATGCATAAGACAGGGGCTTTGCAATGTAAAATAACCGGTTTTATAACCATAAATTCCTGGTTTAGACAGTGAAAAAGTCTTCAAAGTTATTAACTTTGTGTCCTTGCTGGGGGCTTGAAGACTCTATATGTTTTTTTTTTTTTTT